TTATAGCTCCGGTGACCTAGTTTTTCATCCGAGATGACCCATATTGGAACTCATCCGAGCTATTATCTAAACAAGCATCCTGACAAAGTTTGATGATGATTGGGTCAAAAATGTGACCACTAGAGTGTTCACAAGGCTTTTCTATTTTTAGCTCCTGTGACCTAGTTTTTCATCAGAGATGACCCATGTTCGAACTCATCCAAGCAATTGACTAGACAAGCATTCTGACCAAGTTTGATGATGATTGGTTCAAAAATGTGACCACTACAGTGTTCACAAGGTTTTTCTATTTATAGCTCCTGTGACCTACTTTTTCATCCGAGATGACCCATGTTCGAACTCATCTGAGCTATCTTCTAGACAAACATCCTGACAAAGTTTGATGATTATTGGGTCAAAAATGTGATCTCTAGAGTGTTCACAAGGTTTTTCTATTTTTAGCTCTTGTGACCTAGTTTTTCATCAGAGATGAGCCATGTTCGAACTCATCCGAGCTTTCAACTAGATAAGCATCCTGACCAAGTTTGATGATGATTGAGGCAAAAATGCCACCGCTAGAGTGTTCACAAGCAATTGTGGATGGACGACGGACATTCACCGATCCTAAAAGCTCACCCTGAGCAAGCTCAGGTGAGCTAAAAATCAAGCAAGGTAGAAATATTGTTCTTAAAAACTGCACACTACAATTCCTCTCACTGGTCTTTATCAGTTTGTGAAATTTTAATCAAATTCCTTTTACACTTTAGACAAAGGGAGATAATTCTAAAACTAAGTAATGAAGAGTGTTGGTTCTACATAGCATTTGAAATTTTCCTATCTGTGAAAAAGTTTTCCACAAGATATCATTTGATATCACTAGCAGTTTAGGAGTTTCAACCAGGACAAACATTAATTATTAAGTTGAGGAAGATAGTGTGAGGTTTTAATCAAATTCATATGATTCTTCTCAAGTTATTGACACCTGACAAGGGTGTGACAGACAGTAGGAAAGACAGATGAACAGACAAGGTAGTATCAATATTCTCTTCCTTTAAGCAATAAAGTTCCATAAAGCTTGTAAGTACATACACCCTAATAACAAAGAGTGAGACTAAATAAAGGATTGAAGCACCATTCCGGAATATATAAATATATACCTGACAAGACACTTGAATGATTAAATGCTAAAATCTCGCCTTTTCAACATACGGAATGAACTTTCAGTCTTATATTCATCTTTTCACACCAATTTATGTATGATAATGAAAAATTTAATAATAAGCAATAAAAAACCCACGATATTTGTCTATTCTGTGATCAGCGTCTAGAGGTACTGCTCCAATCCTGTATTAAGTTAAATGCAATAACAAACGCCAAACTTTACTTATATAAGCTAAAACAAACTAGTTCAAACTAAACCAAGAAGGAATCAATATTTCTACATCACTGAATATCCTCCCCTTATGGAGCACTGAAAGCAAAATATTTTCAATATCACGTTATTCCCTTAGGACTATTAGATCTACAGCAATTTCTCTTTACGTTCCTCTTATATCACAAAGTCCGCTCCATTGAGAAACATTTCCACCAACAAAAATCCCAAACGTTGTGTAATTTCTTCTTTCCTATTCCAGATAATCAGGTTAATGCAAAGGCAGAAAAATAATTTGTTTTGATTTCTGAAGAATAAATACAATGAAATCTTTATAATGATATATCATTTGGACACTAACTTCCCGTTTCTTTCCGTGAAATATTTGAGACACCAATGCTGTTTAATATATTGTCCATTACAGATTTAGCAGCGCTAGCAGTGCTATCTGTGACTATGTTTCATTATGTACAGTGATTTATGTTTTACGGTTCAGTATTGTTTTATAATGACGTAAATAATGATGTAACAGTCAAGAATGAGATCAATTATCTCTTCACCTTAGTGCAGTACCGAACTAACTTCTTATTAAATTAAATAGGAGGTAGCCCATTACTGCACTAAAGTGACAATCTCATCTGCTATCTTTATTATATCCTTAATATTATAATTTCTCATACCTTTCCAGATGAACTATGTTAAGTATGTATACTGCCAAAATGAACCTAAATAAGGACAGGAAAATTGAAATTCTTCGCAAAAAATAATCTCAGCTTACAACATGTGAAATGCCATTTCTTCTCCCTTTTGGAGTAGAATAATTCATGTGGAAAAGTTGTCCACTGTTTTCTTGGAACTTGGATAACATTCTTAGTTACTATTTTCTCAACTTCGAATTAGCATTAGCATTTTTAATCTAGCGGTGACTTAATTTACCCATGTAACCAGAGTAGACCAAGATATGTCGGCACAGATGTACTCTCTAATTATGGTCTGAACTGTTCACTTTTTAGTTGCTATGTAACTTTGAAATACTCCCTAAAAATTATAAATGGTTTTGCCTGGATTGAAAGATGGACAAGTCCATTAAAGATGTAAGGGTAAAACATCAAATATATAGGAGTTACCACTAAAATCTCAAAAAGCTGAAAGCTCTCTTATTTAACTTTTCACAACACATGATAGGAATTTTATGCTGATTATAAAATACAGGTCAATACAAGTACAGAATTTGCAAGTACATGTATTAAGTATCGACTGAAAAAAATAAAATCGCCACTTCTGATATGATTTTTATACAATATTGTGAAGAAGTTGTAAACTTGCTAATTGCAGATACAACAAAACCCAGGTGTCAATTAATGTACATGAATCTTGTTGTTTCCTCACTGCAGAATTTTCTTGATTAAATAAAATTGTATCCATAACGTAACAGGTTTTGTAAGAGAGTAATCATCTTAGATAATTAGCAGCCATGACTGGTTCTCCGTTTACAAAATCAATATGGAGAAAAACTTCTTTTTTAACAAATCGATACATGCCAGTCATTTATCAGTGTTGAAAGGTGTAATTATACTTTAATTAACCAATATCGGCATACATCACGCTTCTACACTTGCATACAGAAATTAAAAAGAAATTCTAATCCCAAGTTTTCTGTAAGCCGGAATACAATACTAAGTAAATAAGCCCACTCCATAATATTTAAGACGTATATACAATAGGTTTTTTTATATCGAGCATTCCCCGACTGTTTATATTGTGAATGGTGAAGTAAGGATTAAAGGAACGCTATGTTATAATCCACCTATGACATGGAAAACTACCTACTGAATAAGTAATGAACTCTGTACTTACTAGAGTATACAGTCATTAGAAAGCTGGTAGGGCATGGTACATTGAACTAACATTATTTAGTATATTATTTCAAGACCTGTCTTATTCAAGTCCAGAAAGATCTTAGCTATCTATCAGAACTAAACCATGATAAATGACTTCACTACCTAAGACAATGACTTTACTAGCCATGATAATGCCTATGTCAGCCATTATAATGACTAAACTAGCAATGATATTGTCTACAATTACTATGGTAATGAAAGCCAGTCATGATAACATAAGCTAGCCATAATAAAGAAAGCTAGCCATGATAATGACTCTACTAGCCAAGATAATAACTACACTTGTTAAGATGTCTTCATGATAATTACTATGCAATAATAATGACTACAATTACAATGAAAATGACTGCTTGCTATGATAATGACTATGCTAGCCATGAGCCATGACACTGACTACACAGGCCATGATCAGGACTGCTAGAAATGATAATAACTACACTAGCCATGATAATGATAAAGTAACCATGATAATGACCAAACTAATTAAGATGACTTCAATAGCCCTGATAATAACTATGTCGGCCATAATTACTATGCAATAATAATGACTACAATTACCATGATAATGACATGACTATGCTAGCCATAACGGCTATACTAGCCATGATAATGATTTCACTAGCCACGATAATGACTTCACTAGCCATGATAATGACATCACTAGCCATGATAATGACATCACTAGCCATGATAATGACTTCACTAGCCACGATAATGACTTCACTAGCCATGATAATGACATCACTAGCCATGATAATGACTTCACTAGCCATGATAATGACTTCACTAGCCACGATAATGACTTCACTAGCCATGATAATGACATCACTAGCCATGATAATGACTTCACTAGCCATGATAATGACTTCACTAGCCACGATAATGACTTCACTAGCCATGATAATGACATCACTAGCCATGATAATGACATCACTAGCCAAGATAATGACATCACTAGCCATGATAATGACTTCACTAGCCATGATAATGACTTCACTAGCCATGACAGTGAAAAAGCTAGCTATGATAATGACTACACTATGACTAAAATTAATAGGTTAATGACTACATTAGCCATGATAATGACTACAACAGCCAAATGTGATTAGCCTTGCACCATGCAGTAGGTCCAGGCAGCTTATTTTGTATTTTGATATTAAAATCTCTTAAACTGGGAATACTCAGATATGGTTTATGGTGTAATAGACTACATAAGCAAACATATAAGCACTAACTGACTCTCCACTCTTCATAAATAAAGCATCTGTAGTATAATTGTGCAAAATTAATGGCTGCCGAGTTTTAATTTCAAAACTTTTTCTACAAACATACTCCATTAATCATTACAAAATATACATAATCTAGAATAATTGTTGGCATGACAACATACTGAAAATTTACCGAATTACTGGAATAGTTCTGAAATTCATTACATATTTACCTTGAAAAAATCTAATTATCTATGAATTATGATTATTTAATTAATATAGACTTTTAATGTTGATTATAATTACTCATAAGAATCTGAAAGACAAGGAAGGGAGAATTCCCAAATGAATGATGCCAGTAGAGTCGAGAAGCAACTTTTTTGTGCATGAAATGTGAACCTGATTTGCACAATTGATCTAAACTAAACTGTAGCACACAAGGAACAAAGATAAAATCTAGTAATAAAGCAAAGAGTGCTAACCAGTCATAACTTTTAATATTAAAGTTTATAATTTTGTATACACCAAAACTATTCTTACCTATTCTCCACACCTACAGCAGACGCGACTGTTACACTGGAGATTCTGACATCCAGATGCCGTGTCAGCATAAGGTCCATCCAATATATTATCACAGTAAAATAGTTGAGCTGGATCCAAGTGTGGTGCAGTGTTTACGAGGTCGCTCACAGCCTCTCCGGTAACATTCTGACAACCAGACAGGTCCAGGTACTTCAACCTCGGTAAACCACCATTGCTTGCCAGGTAACTGTAAGAAATACATTTACTTAAAAATAGTCTATCTTCATTATCATAAGAATAAATATTGAGCAAGAGAATTTATATGACAAACTATTTCCAGTTGATGAGAATGTTAAAAAGAACTTGTACCCTTATACCATTATTATCATTATATTATAATAATAACTTTTAATAAACAGGATTTGAAATAAAGCAATTAAGTCACCATTATCATGATATTCGATTTGGAAGAGGCACTTTATAGGCCCTTGATAAAGATGGTGAAAAATCTCTGCAAATTGTTCAAATTGGTACAGTTTTTGGGGGTTGTTTTGTGTGCTTTTTTAACTTCATGTATTGAATATTTGTAATTAATTTGATCATAATTCACACAATTTGTGTCCGGATTCTGCGACACATACATATGTTCATCAATTTGTTGGGCATTTCATTGATTGGTATATGAAAATACAATCATTGGTATATGAAAATACAATCATTGGTATATGAAAATACAATCATTGGTATATGAAAATACAATCATTGGTATATGAAAATACAATCATTGGTATATGAAAATACAATCATTGGTATATGAAAATACAATCATTGGTATATGAAAATACAATCATTGGTATATGAAAATACAATCATTGGTATATGAAAATACAATCATTGGTATATGAAAATACAATCATTGGTATATGAAAATGCAATCATTGGTATATGAATTTGGAATTTCATTGATTGGTATATGAAAATACAATCATTGGTATATGAAAATACAATCATTGGTATATGAAAATACAATCATTGGTATATGAAAATACAATCATTGGTATATGAAAATACAATCATTGGTATATGAAAATACAATCATTTTCACAAGGCAGATCGGTATCGTTTCAGATGTCAGTCAGCACACCCCATACAAACAGCCATTATAAGGCTATTGAAGTTGTAAACCTGATAGCTTCATCAAAGGCAAAATCTTTCTACACAAATTTGTTGTCTTTTTAACTTATGAAAAGATGAGCACTTATTTGTCAATAAAAATTAATGACTCATTTTATGTTACATTTATTTCTATTATTCATTTAGTTAGTTCAATAGTAAACAAGGAAGCTGTAAGCTGACAATGTCATAACACTTACAACCAACTGCCTGGGTAAAAGATGTTGTAACGATTACAGGGTGAATGCGCCTTTTTTCATGCATTAACATCTGCAGATAAGCATTTTAAGTCTGAGCCCGCAATAATTTGTATAAAGAAACCATAGCTTGTGTCATGCATACTAAGTGCTAGTGTGATGTCATTTGACAATAAAACTACCGGGGCCATCATCGCATTAAGTTATATTACACTGTGCCCTGAGTAATGCATATTAAAAATGATTACTGAATATATCTGTTAATGCATGTTTACTTCTCTGTCAATGTATACCTGCATACACATTTTTATGCAAGATAATAAAAAAGAGATTGTTCAGAGGTTATATAACTCTTTATCTGTTGGTCATAACAGAGTCTACCTGTGCCATGCCATCTAATAATTGTCTGCAAATGGACCATATTCGGTCCACCCTAAAATTGGTAAAAGGTTCTGCCAGATTGAAAAATTGACAGTTCCATTTAAGATATTAATTATGTGTGTAAGTGATAAAACCAGAACAAACATACATTAATATTCAGTAGTTAACCCTTTCGCTGCCAGAGGGTTATTGTTTTATTGTTCACCTATTTGCCAGAGGATTTTCTAAGAAATTACTATATTATTAATTAATATAATTATTATTATTTGTTATTAGTATTATAATTATTATATATGTTTCCAAATCTGTTAGTATAATAATAATTATTGTCTATGGTATAATTTTCTTCATATTTATTATTATTTTTATTATTATTATTATTAATTTATTATTATTACTATTATTATTATACAAACGGCTAAAGCCGTCCATATGGCAAATACACCGAAAATAACAGGTGTGTAAGTGATAAAACCAGAACAAACATACATTAATATTCAGTAGATAACAGAGATTCAAGCGTTTGATAATAAGTCTATCACAATAATTGATCAATATATTTATCAATATGGTTATATATGTTTTGATGAATTACTTATCAAGTTACCTAGTCAATTAAGCAGGATAGCATTTTTTTTTTCGGAATTAACTTCATGTCATGTAAGCTAACACTGATAGTACTCAATGACAACTTTCTATAGCTTAATTGGTGCAGTTTAATCAATTTAAAGCTAGTTTCAGTAAATGAAAACAACTGATCTGCATTTGATTAGATGATACTCCTTTGGGAAGCTAGTTTGATACCATCAACCACATTCAATGTCAACAGCCTTAAGTGACCACTTAATTAACCACTTAAATAACCACTTAACTATAGACACCTCCTAATGCTGTTTATATACATGTATATATCTGTAAAGTTAGAAAACTCATTAATGTTGTCTGTGCCAACCCATTTTCCAATAAATTCACACTTCTTGGAGCAATATTATATTGTGTAATTTGTGGTCCTATTATTAATTTAAATTAACATTATACAACATCATGCAGGTTTACCAGACAGAAGTTTTATAGCTATTGGGAAAATACCTATGTCTCTATTATGGATACTTACCTTGGTAATTTTACCTATGATAATAAACATTTCATGACAGTGTTAAAACATGGGAAATGAGACTGTAATATTTCACATTACAGAAGCTTCAATGTGATGCTTTATTAATCAATTGATGGTAAGGAAGCATTTAGTTAAAATAAATCAAACCCTCAAAATCCTTAGACCTTTACCCCAACTTAATATCTTATATGGACTTGTCCTGCTTTCATTCTCCACAAAACCATAAATTGATTAAATGTAAAATTTCAAAATAAGTATCAGGTGGCAAGAATATGCAGATCATGATCTGATCAGGTGGCACAAATATACAGACCATGATCTGATCAGATGTCAGGACTATGCAGACCATGAATTTACATTGGCATAATAGAATAGAATGATCTGATCAGATGGCATGAATAAGCAGACAATGATCTGATCAGATAGCAGGAATAAGCAGACAATGATCTGATCAGGTGGCAGGAATATGCAGACCATAATTTGATCAGATGGCACGATTTTGCAGACCATGATCAGATCAGATGGCACTAATATGCAGACCATGATCTGATCAGGTGTCACAAACATGCAGACAATGATCTGATCAGGTGGCAAGAATATGCAGACAATGATCTGATCTGATGGCAGGAATATGCAGACCATGATTTGATCAGTTGGCACGATTTTGCAGACCATGATCTGATCAGATGGCAGGAATAAGCAGACACTGATCTGATCAGGTGGCAGGAATATGCAGACCATGATCTGATCAGATGGCAGGAATAAGCAGACAATGATCTGATCAGGTGGCAAGAATATGCAGACCATGATTTGATCAGATGGCACGAATTTGCAGACCATGATCTGATCAGATAGCAGGAATAAGCAGACAATGATCTGATCAGGTGGCAGGAATATGCAGACCATGATTTGATCTGATCAGATGGCACGATTTTGCAGACCATGATCTGATCAGATGGCAGGAATAAGCAGACATCGATCTGATCAGGTGGCAGGAATATGCACACCATGATCTGATCAGATGGCAGGAATAAGCAGACAATGATCTGATCAGGTGGCAGGAATATGCAGACCATGATCTGATCAGATGGCAGGAATAAGCAGACAATGATCTATCAGGTGGCAAGAATATGCAGACCATGATCTGATCAGATGGCACGATTTTGCAGACCATGATCTGATCAGATAGCAGGGATAAGCAGAAGGTGGCAGGAATAAGCAGACAATGATCTGATCAGGTGGCAGGAATATGCAGACCATGATTTGATCAGATGGCAAGATTTTGCATACCATGATCTGATCAAATGGCAGGAATAAGCAGATAATGATCTGATCAGGTGGCAGGAATATGAAGACCATGATTTGATCAGATAGCAGGAATAAGCAGAAGGGGGCAGGAATATGAAGACCATGATTTGATCAGATGGCAGGAATAAGCAGACAATGATCTGATCAGGTGGCAGGAATATGCAGACCATGATTTGATCAGATGGCAAGATTTTGCAGACCATGATCTGATCAGATAGCAGGAATAAGCAGACAATGATCTGATCAGATGGCAGGAATCAGCAGACAATTATTATTATCAGACGGCACACATATGCAGACTGATCCTGGTCTGCAGCAGTTGTCACAGATCAGTAGCCACTAGCAAGCCAAGATTTAAACATTTGAGTAGGGTCTCCAATTGTCATCATGTCAGGCACTTTTAAACACTCATGTTTTATATGCCCAATTGGTAATATATTGTATTGTATAAAATTGTGTTATTTTTATTGCACAAAATATTGCTTCAATTCAAGACCATTTGCATATTTATCATTCTTGATAAGATCATCAAAGTGTACAACAAACGGCTTGTTCACACTTCTGGGATTAAAGATTAATTATGATATTTACAAGATAACCATATAAATGACAATAAATTGTGTGCAAAATAATTTAACATATCCCTAATGCATACAATACATTTATCAGTCTAATTTCTCCATGTTTTCCCCTTTTCAAAGCTTATCTTGTAGTTACATAATTATATACATTGGCATAATAGAATATATTCAAACTTTGCATATGGATATATTGTGGTCACCAAGCACATTTCCAAGTAATCTGCACTTGAATTTAAAAATTTGCTTCTTTTAAGGGCAGTTAACTTACATTTAAGTCTAACGACTTTAATTTTACTATTTAGTTTTTTGTTTTTTTTTATGAAAAATATAAAGTTATATGGAATTCTATTCTATTTAACCTTTTTGTTCCATTTTAACAGTTACAAGACTGAAAATTCTTCAAATACTTCAGTCTGCTTTTATATCTAAATTTAACTTTTGAATACTTTTGAATACGCCTTATGATATTTCAACTTCTTACAATGTATAA